GATCCAGAGGAGAGACCCGTGATAACATGGAGAAGGGGTGGGGTGTAGCCCGAAGGTGAGGCCAGCTGCACCAGCTGGCGGGCGGGCCCAGGTGGAGCTGTGGAGACAACCCCGAGGCTTGGGCCTGAGCACCTGCGGGGACTGTGAGGCTCAGCCGCACATGGAACCTCGTGGCCCTGGAACAGCTTCAGCGGAGCGAGAAGTGGGGCAGAGGACACTGGGTGCAAGGGACCTCCAGCGCCAAGACTCCAGAAAAGCTAACTGCGTGTTTCGAAATCCCCGAGAGTGGCCCTGAGAGTCACCCGCCGGCTCCCCGCGGGAGAGGCGGGAGATGCTCCCAGCAATGTGTCCTCAGCTGACCCCATGGTGTGACCGTCACGGAGCACGTGCGCACGCCTGGATGGGGCAGCCCGCGGCACACCGGGGCCGCAGGGTGGAGCCCCTGCTCCCGGGCTTCCCGCCTGCGCAGCAGGTTCCTGTAGGACAGGCGCAGGGTTGACTCGGGACAGGAGAAAGGTCGCGACAATGCGGTGCACACGCCGGCTGTGGGGCTGCTGCCGGGAGCACGGCGACCGCCGGAGGACACGCTTTATTTTTACAAGTGGAAAGAGCACCTCCTGCCTCAGGTCTCAGGAGTTGGGCCTCGGGTTGGGACTAGAATGTCCAAACTTCCAGTGGTCACAGAGACACGTGTGGGGAGAGGGGTGACCCCAAGGGCCTCTGGGCAGTGCTGGGCAGCTGCTCCTCTGTCCCCGGCTTGGACATAAGCCGTAATCGCCTTAACTTTTTTCTTTAGCCACAGAGGGAGGGCCCAGCCTCCGCCCGGCTCAGCTTCTGGGCCCAAGGGTGGCCTAGCTCTCATCTCACCTCATGGAATTTTGAGTGTGTCACCCAGTCATTCAAATGTTCTGAGGCACTTGGTGAACTTTAAATTAAATGACAGACCACTTGGTATTGGTGAGCGAGATGCCTACGTACCCTAAGGAACCCAAAGGAAAAGCCCCCGAGTCTAGTTAGGGTCACGAGTGAGGGCCCCAAGCAGTGTGCAGGAAACTGCTCCTGTCCGTGAGCGTATGTAAATCAAGCTTCTATTCATGGCCCTCGAAATGGAAATGAAGGTGGGCAGCTTTTTCCTTTCGCTTTTATGAGTCAGGGTCTTTCCCCTGCCTGCAGGAAGCAGAGAGAGAGACAGAGAGACAGAGAAAGAGAGGTGTCTTGGGTGCCTCTGCCCGGAGGAGTCTGGCCCAGTGCGGCTCTGGGGTGTGAGCTGAGCCTTGGGCCCCAGGGTCACACTGATGACATAATTGGTAGCAGTTTGCAAAATGGTGCCCCAGAGAGTAGCTTCAACTCTAGATACAGCTTTTTTTTTTTTTTTTTTTTTCCTTACTCAAGGATATTTTTTCCATTGACTTTTAGAGAGTGGAAGGAGGCGGGGGTGGGGGGAGAAACATCGATGTGAGAGAGGAACACCAATTGATTGCCTCCCACAAACGCCCCGATAGGGGCCGGGATCAAACCCAGGACCCTTGAGTGCAAGGGCTGATGCTCTAACCACTTTGCTACCCGGCCAGGGCCCTTCAGTCCTGTGGTAAACGCTGTTCCGCTGTGTGGATGGGCCGTGTTTTATTTGCGGACCTGGAAGCTGTGCCCGCCTCTCGGTGGTCGTGAACAGTGCCACTGGGACATGTGCGCACCTCGCCTGTATCTGATCCAGTCCCGTTTTCAGCTCTTTGCGTGTATTTCAAGGAGTGGCGTTGCTCGGCCATATGGTGATTCATGGTTTAACTTGTCGAAGAACCGACAAACCAGCATTTTCTCACCGCGCTTGATAAATGTTGGTTTCCTTCCTCCCGTTCTGTTTCACCTTCCAGAACTCACCCCTGAGATCTTCATCGCCTACCAGGTCCTGGAGGTCTTCCCCCGGGGCCGCCAAGTTGCCATAACCTGCCACTCACCCCAGGTGCCCCCGCCTGTCACCTACTCCCTCTGGGGGAGCCAGAACATTGAAGTGGCCAAGAAGGTGATGAGGACCCAAGACCCGGCCTCTTTCAGCATCAATGTCACACTCAAGTCCCGGCCAGACCTGCTCACCTACACCTGCCAGGCGGTCACCACCTCGGGTCTGCGATTAACCAGCGCCGTGCTGCAGATGTACTGGGAGCTGTGGACCAGTGAGTGCGTGGGGAGTGGGGGCGGG